GCATAAGCATAAAAATGACAGAGTTTTTATTTTCCTGCTCTTTGAAACACAAAGCATGCTGGGTGAATTTAGATTTCTATGGAAGAAATCTGCATGTGGCTAATAATTCTATTCATAAGTGTGGCTACTTTGACAGGTCATGGCTCAATAACAAACATGCAGGTCTAAGTCATCACACAGTTTAGATATGAATTCAACAGCAGAATAATGACAGTTGCCAAGGATTTGTACTTGCTGTCGCTTCATACCAGTGTTGGCTGTCAAAATGTCTCTTTTTCTTATACAGAAGCCATAGATTTTTTTTATGGATAGCAATTACTTACAATATACAATGAAGTACATCAAATCTAACAACCACTCTTTAGCCCCTCATTACTTGGTAGTCTCTTTGTTAAATGTAGTCAACCATTTTCATCTAAATTATTTATTTATACTGTATATTTGACAACCATATCTTTCTTGCTTTATATTCGTATGGCATTTAAACCTTCATGAAGAGTTATGTTTTTTTTTTAATATTGTCATTTGTAAAACTTATCTCTATCCTATTACCATTTTAATGGTAATTAAATGCTCTAATTGGAATAAACACAAATAATAAAATGTAAACATAAGGGAAAATAACCCTAAGTACATTCAATAATAAATCACCAGCTTAAAATACTGAAATACAACTGATAAAAGAAATAACCCCACATATGTTTGGTGAATGTAACCTGCTATAAAATCTCTGGAGTACATAAAGCACAAAAATTTCATTAAACTTCATCAGAACCTTTTTCCAACTTGATGAAATGAATAACCTAAAGATATAAATAACTTTCTACAATTACTAGATAAAATGTGATTTAAACATCATAGAAAGTAAATAACAGAAGTGATAATAATAAAAGTGAACAATTCCCCCCAAATTTTATTTCCAATAGCAGAAGAAATTGTATTTCTAGTTTGGCCTAGAAATTTAGGTAAGGGTATCCCAGTTGCAGCACAATTTCCAGTTATTTTATAACACATACTATGTCAAATTTTTACTTAGAACTTGATGATTGAATAATAAACAATGTGTTATGTTCAAGCCACATATATACCCTCTAGGAGCTATTCAACGTTTGTTAAATTGAACTTTTTTACTTTTACAGAAGGAAATTCTAAACAAGAAGAGCAAGTTCTCTGGGTAAAGGACCCATTTGAGTATAGTATCATCCCACCCAAAGGAAGAAAAGAATATTTGTGCTTATGCAAAATACAAAGGAATAAAAACAAGGTACATCTTAAATCTAAAACTGGAGGAGGTTACAGATACCATATACAATGTTTCCAGAGGAAATGTAAATCTTCCAAAGGAAACAATATAGTCTTTTAACATTTTAAAAGGAAATAATACATTAATCTTTAGATCTGTAGAGATTTTGTTTTTGAAAAAAAATTTTGAAAAAAGTTATGAACTACGCCAAATGTAATTTGTTGGGAATGAAGGTAGAGCACTGAAGGTGTTTCCTTGCTTCCTTCACTGCTGCTATCTTCCCTCACTCCCTTCTGCTGCCCATTCCATGCTGGGAATGGACTGCTCGTCTTTGGAATGATGAAATTGCTAAACTTAAACTGTCCCTGGAAAAGGAAATATGACCAAATTTTTCTATTTAAAAAAGAATCTAAGATTCATTCCAATTAAAAATAGCCAAGATCCAGGGCACCTGGCTGGCTCAGTCAGTAAAGCATGAGACTCTTGATCTCAGGCTCGTGAGTTCAAGCCCCATGTTAGGCACAGAGATTACCTAAAAAAAAGAAGTAAAAAAATATCCAAGATAACTAAAATGACATAAAAAAGCGAATGAATGGTTTAGGTGCTATTCGTCTCCTTGAAAGCAAGATTTGTCTGTGAAAAAGCAACCCATATAATATATAACAAAAAGTTGTTGGTGATTCACTTTTAAAACTGATTTAAGTCCTGGGGCACCTGGGTGGCCTAGTCGTTAGGCATCTGCCTTCGGCTCGGGTCATGGTCCCAGGGTCCTGGGATCGAGCCCCGCGTTGGGCTCCCGGCTCGGCAGGAAGCCTGCTTCTCCATCTCCCGCTTCCCCTGCTTGTGTTCCCTTTCTCCCTGTCTCTCTCTCTCTGTGTCAAAATAAATAAATAAAATCTTTTTAAAAAATTTAAAAAAAACTGATTTAAGTCCTTATTTAATGCACTAAAAATAATTTCTCCCACAGGGAACTAAAAGAGTTGGCAACACACTCAGCTGCAAGCAGGATTAAAAAATACTGTAACTTTCTATTGTAAAAATCATGAAATTACATCCTTTGATGATCATCAGCTAAAAATCATTAAAATACTTTATGCGTGGGGTAGAAAGAGATACTAATTTTTTACAACATTCTCTTAATTGTAAAATGCAATTGTAATTTAGAAATCTTCTACTCAGCATTTGGAAATACCTTCTATAAATATGACAGAACTGTCCATAGATACCTGCTATCAATAAATAATTAATTCTGCCATCCATGTCTCAAAGGCTGGTGCCCTGTTCCAGGTCACCTGGGAATACATCAGACTATAGCTAGGTAGGAAAAGTTTCTTATTGTGCTGCTTTCCTGGAAATAGCCATAGGAATTAGGCTAGATATTTCCAGTTATCTGACCTCCTAGTGGTAAGTCATAACATGCGAGGATCAGACCTTCTTTGGCACAATACGTTGAACTCATTTACACTGTTGGTGATTAGTTTTCTTGCTGGGGGAAGGAACATGGCACAGCAGTTTTCACTCTATTACAAACAAATACAACAGAGTGACAAAGGAAAAACATTGAAAGAACACAAGAGAGAGGAAAAGAGTGGATAATGTGAATACAATATAGAATAAATTAATAGCACTGGGTAATAACATGAGAATAAAGTGACCAGTCATTGTATGGCTTGCAATGAATGGATTTAATTCATGTGGGCATATTTTGTAAAACGTACAGTGTGTTTAGTGAAAAGAAACATAATCTCTTGTGATATAAGTAAAGGAAAAACAAATTGACTATATTTTAATAATTATTTCTCATAAAAAGATCACAAAGACGTTGGAAGAAAGGTGGCAAGGAAAACAAGAATGAGACAAGAAACGTTTTAACCTCAATCAGGGGGAAATGTCTTTACTTATAGAGAAAATTGCCTCTCTCTGATAATCCTATTAATGCCAACCATTAGCCTTTATGAACCTGACCCCTTACAGGTTGAAACTCATCATTTTCTTTTTCATGAAAGTAAAAGATCTCTGGGCATTATCTTTGACTTTCCATTCAATTACCAAGAAAATGTTTACTTTATTTTCTAGGTGCATCATAATCAAAGTTGATGGTAACAGGTAATAGTGGCAAAAAAGAAGTCAGGATTCAGACAAAGAAATATGAGTAGCACATTGAAATAAACTATAAAAAAACAGATGATAGGAAGGTGTCACATGAAAAGAAAGACTGACATTAAAAAAAGGACGAATAAGGCCAGAGTTAAAAAGAATCAGAATCAAAGAAAGAAAATGAGAAGAAAGCAGAAACCGTATAAATGAAATTATAGTTAACTCTAACAAAAAAATAATCTAAAAATACACAAAAGATAGTTGGAATAAAAAGCACTATTTTAAAAGGAAAGTTGATAAAAATAAATTCTAAAGGGAATAAAAATGTGTAAATACACATTATATTAGCAATGGCATTTGTAGAAAGGAATACTTAAAAATCTTATTTAGAAATTGTTTCCATTGTCTTATTGGAAAGAACACTTTCATGAACAACTTACATCTCTACCGTATAACTATACTGGGTAATGATGTTCTAAAAAATTATCTAGGCATATAGCTAGTACACTGGATAAATAACCTCAGACACTGCTAATATGGACTCAGAGGTCAAAGGAATAAAGCAAAACAAAAATTAGCTAAAAGTCTAGATTTCACTTTCACCTAAATTTACTAACAAACAAAAAACAAACCGCTTTAAGATATAAATGTAACCTGGCATTTTTATAAGAGATTAACATAATTCTTAATTTATTAATATTTTCTTTAATGCTCTTATAGTATATATTTTCTATCTAACGTTAAGACTATGACATCACATTTAGCCATCCCATAGTTTATCAAAACCTGATAGGGGTGCCCAGGTGGCACCACAGTTGGTTAAGCATCCAACTCTTGGTTTCGGCTCAGGTCATGATCTCAGGGTTGTGAGACTGAGCCCTGCATCAGGCTCTGTGCTGGGCATGGACCCTGCTTGGGATTCTTTCCTTTCCCTCAGGACCTCCCCCACCTCCTCCACCCCCTCCCGGTGTGCTCTCTCTAAAATAAATAAATAAATCTTAAAACACACACACAAAGACACACACACACACACACACACCTGGCAGATACTTTTTCATCCTTCACTTTCTAATGGAGAAAAAAACACAGGAAAAATACCTCTGTCTCCTCTGCTTTGCATTTCTGAGAAGTGTGGTAGGATATAGCAGTTAAAAGTTCTGGCTGTGGAGTTAGATCCACATGGGTTCAAACCATATGTTCTCTACCTACAAGCTCTGTGATCTTGGTCAAGTTAATTAACCTATCTAGGTCTTTGTTTCTTCCTTAGTAAAATGGAAATGTTTAAATACTACCTGCCTTATATTCCCCCCAAGGTTGTTTGGAGAACTAAATAGACACAATGCAGGTTAAGTGCTTAGCATGGTGAATGGCATAGAGCAAATATTATCTGCCCTGCCATTATCATTTTTATCATTATGCTACTGTCCAAGTCAAACTCCAGGGATAATTTCTGTTTATTGCATCATCTACCTTTTTTCTTCCCATAGAATAAAAGAAATTGAAGGGCTCTAATCCAGGCAACAACCTTCATAGCCCATCATATCTCCAAGTTATTATTGACATCATCTCCACAAAATATTGAGCATTTACATAGACAACTTTCTGTAAGCACTTTATCTCCTTCAGGATTCAGTTTAAGCTGCTGAAATAATATTCTTACCTTGGTAAATCTTTTGAAATACATTTATAAGTTGGGTGAATGGTATTTCCACTGAAGGTGCCTTCAGCATTGCTCTGCGGTGATACCTCCATGGCGTTAGTCAAGGGTGATAAAGAAGACTGAGAAAGTGATGCTCCGTGATCATCTGTTTCTCTTTTTGCCATTTTCAGCTAAAAATGAGGAAGAATTTTATTTAATTTAAAAGATAAAACTCTCCAGGGTTATAAATTGAGGCTGGGCATTAATCACAATTTATTTCTCATCATGTTCTAGACTATGCAGCAGTTGCTAAATGTGAGATCTCATGATTAAAAAAAAAAAAAAAAACAGAGATGAAAGCCTAAAGGAAAACAAAAGTATGAATCTAAGTCTTTGAACAGTATAATCCTGGGGCACCTGGCTGGCTCAGCCGGTAGATCATGCCATTCTTGATTTGTAAGTTTGAGCTTCATGTTGGGTGTAGAGGTTACTTTTTTTTTTTTTTTTTTTTTGAGAGAGAGAGAGAAGAGCAGAGGGAGAGGGACAAGCAGATGCGGGGCTCGATCCCCCGATCCTGAGATCATGACCTGAGCTGAAACCAAGAGTCTGACGTTTAACTGACTGAGCCACCCAGGGGCCCCAGGAATGCAATTTTAAATAGGTTTGTCAGTATAGGCCTCATTGAGGTGATAAAATCTTGGCAAAGACTTGGAAGAGGGTCTTTGTTGTCTGCAGTTGAATCTAATCCCGAAACTCCTGATATTCCTTGAACTAAACTGCTTTCCAGAAAAGCAAGTTAGCTAGTTAGCAAGTTGCTAGACTTATTGTTAACTAAGCATATGGAAGAATGAAAGAACTATAATATAATTTAAACTCACAAGTATTATGGAGAAATACATACCTATAATACATAAGATCATGTCTTTCCCACTTTCTAGTTATGGGACCATGAGTATTATAGCCTTTCTGTGTTTTAATCCTCCCATTTGCAAAACTGGTTATCTACATGGTTATAAGGATTAAATAAATAAAATGGTGAACATGAAAGCATCCGGCACAGTGCTTGGCATATGGTAGACATTCATGAAGTGTTAGGTGAATTTGAATCTATATCAAAATAAGAAAATGTATCTCTTTCTCCATACTTTAATAAGGAAAGGTGCTATTCTTTGCCCAGCACCCCTCTGGTATTCCAATTGAAGACCAAAGGGCTGCTGGCCTTCACACTACCCCTCTCCCTTTAAGCTTCTCACAGCAGGAGGAACAAGGTTCTCTCAGGCTTCTATAACAACCACTGTTTGTTCAGGTCCTTCATAGGTTGAATCTTCCTAATTGAGGAATGCTTATAAGTGAAAAACTCTAGCTGTGTACAGCAAGGCAAAATTATATGATTACAAAGTAAATCACCTTGCAGAATGAAATCGTTTGACTGCCCTGGTGTGTTTATTATATAGTCCAATTATTAAAAACTAAGAAAATTTGCATCAAACTATAACTCTTGAAATATAGAAATAGTTTTACTTTTTACTTATGCATGATTACAATCCTAATCTTCACTAAAAGAGGCAATCATTTGAGTGATGGTATAGTTTTACTTTCCATGTAAAATAGTTTCAGGATGCTTTTTGGTGGAATGAATTATATAAGTGTGAAATCACTACCATTATTAAATGCAATATTTCTTCTATAATGTTACTATAAAAACAGTGTTATCCTCACTAAAAGTAGAACATATAATAGGTTAAGTAGAATATGCAGAATAGAATAAGTTTGCAGATATCATTCATGCACATTACTAATTAAATGAAAACTAATTGTTAATTAGAGATTAAAGAAAATAAAATGTGTTAATTTTAATTTGACTGACACTACTATGGTATTTTAGTGAAGTACAGGTAAAGGCACTGCCTTATGTTTTATTAACACATGCATAGTTTATTTACTGACACACTGAAAAACCACTATTTTTTTACTTCCATCTCTTAATCATTTTACATGAATAGAAGCTCTCACTCATGCCCACCCCTAGATCTGCTCTTCCACCCTTTTTTTAAAAAAGGCATTCAAGCACACAGTGGTTATAGGCCTGGACTCCGGAGCCAGAGTGTCTGGGATTACATCCCCGCTGCCCACTTACTAGCTGTGACACTTTGGACAAGTCACATAACATCTTTCTGCATCAGTTTCTTCATTTGTAAGAAAGGATTAAGAATAGTTGGGGCGCCTGGGTGGCTCAGTTGGTTAAGCGACTGCCTTCGGCTCAGGTCATGATCCTGGAGTCCTGGGATCGGGTCCCGCATCGGGCTCCTGGCTCAGCGGGGAGCCTGCTTCTCCCTCTGACCCTCTCCTCTCTCATGCTGTTTCTCTCTCGCTCGCTCTCTAATAAATAAATAAATAAAATCTTTAAAAAAAAAAAAAAAGCATAGTAGCCACTTCATAAAGTTGATGTGCTCACACATAGCAGGTAAAATGTGTCAGCTACAGAAGAGAAAAGGTTTGATGGTCTTAAGGTTGGGGTACTAACTACCAATAATAAAACAGTACATGGGGCTTTCCAAGGGGCAAGTAAGTGTGGATAGTTATAAGCAAATCAATGTCCAGATCCTTGCCTTCCATATATAGGCTTTCTTAAAGAAAGCCTAAAAAAGACTTTCAAGCATAAAAGATAAAATTCTGTAGAAGAAATGCAGTGGAAATAAAAGTTTGCAGAGAGGGGTGCCTGGGTGGCTCAGCTGGTTAAGTGTCTGCCTTCAGCTCAGGTCATGATCCCAGGGTCCTGGGATCGAGTCCTGCATTGGGCTCCCTGCTCAGTGGGAGTCTGCTTCTCCCTCTGTCCCTCACACTGCTCCTGAGCTCTCTCTCTCTCAAATAAATAAAATCTTAAAAAAAAAAAAAGAAACAGCTGTACTTTAAAACTAACCAATGAGAAAAAAGATGTGAGCACGCACATGCATAAGTGCCATGTCATCGCCTACCCAAAAATGTACCCAGGTCTCTAGATCTAACTTCTAGTTTGTGAGAAATACTGGAGGTAGAAAAACGTGTTAAATGACATGACACTGAAAATAAAGATGGAGAAATGTTACAGGTGAAAAGAGACTAAGAATTATATCAACCAAACACAATTCATAAACCTTGTTTAGATCCCAATTTGAACAAACTAACTTTTTTTTTTTAGATTTTATTTATTTGACAGAGAGAGAGACAGCAAGAGAGGGAACACAAGCAGGGAGAGTGGGAGAGGGAGAAGCAGGCTTCCTGCAGAGCAGAGAGCCCAATGCAGGGCTCGATCCCAGGATTCTGGGATCATGACCTGAGCCAAAGGCAGATGCTTAACGACTGAGCCACCCAGGAACCCCAAACAAACTAACTTTAATAAGAAAAATTTTTGAGGCAATTGTTGACATTTAAATACAAACTGGGTATTATAGATACTAAGGAAATTATTTTATTGGGTATGAATAAATGGTATTGTTATATATATTATCTGTTAAAAATTTATTGGGCATATTTGTCTTCATAAGTTATTTGCTATTGGGTACAACACTCAGTTTTGGATATTATGGGTAATGGTATTATGGCAAATAGGGGTGCCTGTGTGGCTCTGTTTATTAGGCATCTGACTCTTGATTACAGCTGCGGTCGTGATCTCAGGGTTGTGGGATTGAGCCCATGTCAGGCTCTGCTTGTGCTCTCTCGCCCTTCCTCTAAATAAATAAATAAATAAATAAATAAAATCTTTAAAAAAAATGGCAAATAAAATAACAATTTTATGCTTGTGACTTAAAAAAATGTATTATCTGTTAGAAATACAAACCAAAGTGGTTTTTTTAAAAAAGATTTTATTTACTTATTTGAGAGAGAGTGAAAGAGAGTGCGGGCGTGCGAGGGGGAGGGGCAGAGGGAGAGGAGAAGCAGACTCCCTGCTGAGCAGAGCCTGTTGTGAGGCTACATCCCAGGACCCTGGGATCATGACCCGAGCTAAAGGCAGATGATTAACCGACTGAGCCACCCAGATGCTCAACATTTCTTATGAGTGTCATCATCCCATTTGTTTTTTTATCTTGTATAGCAGAATTGAATATTCAAACTCACATTATATGGTGCTTCTAGTGGGCTGGAGATAGAAGGAAAGGAAAGCACTCATGTGGCAGAAAGATATAAAGCAAGAAGACAAGAAGTATGGAAATACCATCATCTTAAAAGGCTTCACATCTGGTAATTCCACTACTGGGTATTTACCCAAAGAAGACACTAATTTGAAAAGAAAAAATGAAGCCCTATGTTTATTATAGCAATTATTTACAATAGCCAAAGTATGGAAGTGTCCATCCATAGGTGAATGGATAAAAATCTATCCATAGATTAATGGATTAAAATATGGAATGGATATTACTTTATATATATATAAAGGAATATTACTCAGCCATAAAAATGAATGAAACCTTGCCATTTGCAACGACATGGATGGACCTAGAGGATATTAATGCTAAGTGAAATCAGTCCGTCAGAGAAAGAAGAACATATGATTTCACTCATATATGGAATTTAAGAAACAAAACAGGGAGGCCTGGATGGCTCAGTCAGTGGAGCATATGACTCTTGATCTCGGGGTCATGAGTTCAAGCCCCAGGTTGAGCATAGAGAGTACTTAAAAGAAAAAAAAAGAAAGAAAACAAATGAACAAAGGAAAAAGAATCAAACAAAAATACAGACTCTTAAATACAGAGAACAAACTGGTGGTTGCCAGAGTGAGGTAGGTGGAAGTATGGGTGAAAGAAATGAAGGGGATTAAAAGTACAGTTAACTTGATGAGCACTCAGAAATATATACAATTGTTACATCATTATAATGTAAACCTGAAACTAATCTAACTGTATATTAATTATACTTGAATTTAAAAAAACATTACTACTTACATTAGCACTCAAAAATGAAATAGTGAACTCTGAAACAAATAATACATTATATGTTAAAAAAAAAAAAGAAGAAGATAGCAGGAAGGGAAAAATGAAGGGGGGGAAATTGGAGGGGGACATGACCCATGAGAGACTATGGACTCTGAGAAACAAACTGAGGGTTCTAGAGGGGAAGGGGTGGGGGCAATGGTTAGCCTGGTGATGGGTATTAAAGAGGGCACATACTGAATGGAGCACTGGGTGTTATACACAAACAATGAATCATGGAACAC